AAATCCAGAATATGGTCAACATTGAAGGGCAGATTAATGGTTATCAAAGTACAAATATCCAAAATCAGTTCAGTAACGTTTTTCAAGGGGACAATATTTACTCAAATTGATGGGTTTGGATGATGGGGGAAACTCGTGTCACAGGCTCTTTAAACTACGACTTTAACCTGTCGTTATTTTTTAAAATTGAATGACAAATATATAAATTAAGTTTGCCAGCAATAAACACAAAAAAAGTCTCAAAAGGTCCAGTGGTTTCCACATGTGCGCCCTGATGCTGCTCTGATGAAACAGTCCTGAGCAGAATCAGTCGAGCTCCTCTGCTCAGTCTCTCCCTCATCTTGGGCAGACATTGTGGTCAGTGACGAGTTTCTCCATCCTCTTTATCTTGCGTTTGTTCTTGGGCATGGGTTTGTCGTACATGCCGTTCTTTAGTAAATGCTCCTTGCTATGGTGAACCTGAGCACCGTGCTGCAGCTGGAAGGAGCACAGAGCCTTCAGGGGCCTCAGCAGAACCTGGACACACAAATGGAGAAGGTGTAAACAAAATGGCTTCTTGTTGGCATTGCAACCTCTGTTTGTAACTCTCAAAAATAACCAAATCTATGTACTCCATTTTGATTTGGGTGACTTCCCACTGGTCAGTTTTTAACTTAGCTACAGTTAACAATTAATTAAACTATAACATGTACGTGAAACGGGTTGCTCATATTAATGAACCTACATGTATTTACAGCAGTTCCTCTCAGCTCTGAATCATTTGAAGGTATTTCAACTCATTTCTTTTGTTTTTACAGCCTGCGACTTTACTGTTTTTGTTCAGTGATTGCCCTCATTCCCAGACACAGGAAGCTGTTTTCAGAAACACAAACCTAAATAAATGCTAATGCTGCTCCATATCTGCTGGATGTGTTAGTAAACTGCTATATATATTAATCATCATTATTTCATCACGTCACCTCTTGGATGTCGTCATTCTGCTCCAGTATGGACAGCGAGACAGCAGCACACTCCAGCGTGGACAGGCAGATGTTGGAGGGTTGTGTGCGGATCACATACTGACTGGAAAGAGTCCTATTGAGCTGCACCTGGTGGCCCAAAGCAGAGGTGATTAGAAGGGTGAGAAATTAACTGATTTCTTTCAAATAATAAAAGTTATTTTGCCTGGAATTAAAACAGATACAATAGTTGATCTTCAATTATACCAAGTGTTTGCTACCCTTAAATTCTGGGACATAAACACTTGTTGTTACCACCAGTCCTCACTGATATCCCCCTATCAACGTGGACAAAGTGTTAAGGATTAGAACGTTTATATTTAAAATATGCTCTTAAATAGTTGCACAAAATCAACTTTAAGGCCACTGAAGAGAAATGAACATTAGTCAAATGACACCACTGAAAGGCAACGTTTGTTATCTCTTTTTGACAAAATGAACATCACATCAAACCTATGTTATTGTGAAAACACAGTTATACACACCTGTTTAGGCAGGTGGAACAGGTTGTTTTTCAGGAACATGTTTTTGGCCTGGCTCCAGGTGCCGTCTATGATGATCACATTGTGTGTCACTGTGCCTACTTCCTGGTGTTGTACCAACTCGTCCAGGTTCTGGGATTTGGGACCTGGGTACAGGATCAGCGTCCTGCTGTCCCGACACACCGCAGCCAGCTCCGGGTGCCTGAGAGGGGAAAAATTGAAGAAAAAAAACTCAATATATCTGTAAATTCAGAGACAAAAGTGTTTCAATGGTGTGGCGGAGAGCTAAAATTGGAGAATGACTTCTTACTTTTCCTCATTGAATCTCCTTCCCACTATGACATTGCATTTTCCTTGTGGCAAACAAGCAGCAAGTAGTGGCACTGTGCGAAGAACTCTGCTCTCCTGAAAGTAAACTGGAGGTTAGAAAAGGCATAACCATGAGCCTCTTATACAAATATGCCTGGTTTTCTTTAGCTATCTCATTGGAAGGAGCAGTTGATTTTTGGTTTTGAAAAGTGGAAAGAACAACACATTTAAATTCATCAGCCAGACAAAAAGAATAAACATGCAATGTAATAATACTGTATACAGGACTATTTGAAACTGGCCAATTATTAGCATTCGGCATCGCTGCTTCCATCTTTCTTATTACTTTGGACATACAATACCAGGGGCATACTTCATGAAGATGGTTGAGATAATGACCACAGTGGGCGATGCTTTAGTAAAAACAAATACTATATTGAATAATCAAAAATACAAAATATTGTTTGCCTTGCACTTTTTTTCCTGACTACGTATATACCTATTTTTGGTGTCTTGGGTATTCCCTTATGATGTACACAATTACAAAAAGAAAACAGAACACACTGAAAAAGAAGGTATGCCAAAGCTTTTGTCTGGTACTGCATGTGCACCTAACCTGACTATTGTTTTTAATAGTAGGGATGCTCCGATAGTATATAATGTATAAGCATTTCAAACAGTAGTCGAGTGTTGGGCATGTATGCCACATTTGACATGTTACTTATTACTCACCTCTGCAGGATGCTGCACTATGTACAGACATGTGGAGACCTCCAGGGGTTGTGTTGGAAGAAAAGGACAGAGACACACCTTCTGAGGGCGACTACATGGGAGGAAAGTTGAAGACTGTGATTGCACCGTTACATCCCAGCCTATAAGCCCCCATCTCTCAGTTTCAGCTGGTCTTCAGCTTTTCTTTAACGACATTAATCTGTTCCCTCATTAAAGCATGCCAGTAACTTGAGGAGAAGAATAATGGGATGAGGAGGAGGAGGAGGGTTTCCAACCAATCTAACTGGTTAGCTAGCTAGCATTAGCTTCACTTTAATTCAGCTCACCGGCACCGTAAACACGTCGGTCTTCTCTCGCCCACCTCGACCGGGAGGGCAGCCAGGTCGCCAAAAGCGTCGTTTAATCCATCTTCATTCGACGAGCTGTCACCGTTTTCTGCTCCGTTTTCTTCAGAAGAGACAGGAGAACAAAAGCTGGGACCATTGTCCATGGTGGAGTTAGCAAAAAGCTAACTTATCACCTATGCTTATCCCATGTTGTAAAACACAGCATAGAAATACACCAACTAGAATGCCTACAAACCGGTATACTAAACTGATATGTTAGCTAACTGGCTATACGAAAAATATATAAATAAAACGAAAACTTATTTCATTATTCTCTTTATTTTTATAATTATTACTGTATGTATTTGGAGAATTTGGCCAAATAAAATATTGTTTAGCTATGTGAATTAGCATATCTACTCTATCTACTGTATTTCTATGACCTAATGGTAAACCATGAACTCAAAGCTGCCACCTGTCGATGTGGAGGAAAAAAGGTGACTGAAGTAAAAGCTGATGGGAAATACTCATTCATAACACTGGATGTCTCCGATCATAATTAGGACCATAACATATTTATATTCGGTTAAAATATTTAAAATGACTAATGCTTGACCGAACCTATACTTATATTTGTTTCTTATTTATGAATTATTCCATGTGTTTATTTATGAATTATTCCATGTGTTTATTTAGAATTATCTGGTAGTTTCCTCTTTGTATGCTTAACTAGCCTTTTATAAGGATTTGGTATGATATTCTTTAGTTGTGTATTTTAAATATGTGCTGCATGGCCTATGTTGTAGCTACTTTCTTGTGACTGTAACTTAATTTTTTTGTATCAAGTTCTCTATTATAAATGTTGAATTTGATTTATTTCATGTTGCTTATTGCTGCTGTGTGTGTTAAAAAGGTGTCGAAATACAATGTGTGCTCAGGAACACTGCAGAGCTCCAGATGGGAATCTGTGGACTCAGGCATAGGAGCAACCATATCTGCAATTCTTGACATAAACCGGCTTTTTTGATTATGTCGGGGAAAATACTGCACTGTCCAATCTTAGTATAGTCCTGGCTAAAAGAAACCCTCTATACACAGTCACAAACATGGTGGTGTAACATGGAATCAGTTACACACAATTTTTTTAATTCAGCGTTAGTGTTGGTTTTGGAAAACATTAAGAAATATAGAAAGTATAATGCACATACACAGGTTTTTGACTGTTTACAAGAGGTCACGCATACTCCTGGCTGAGACGAGGTGTCAGGTTTACAGCCAGAGAGGCCTATTTTTAGCTGAAGATCCCCACTAACGTCACAACGACACATGCACTCTCACCTTTTTTATTCACACCCATGACCCTCACCTCTTTCAAACAAAACACTATAATTCATGCTCTATTGTCACAAGTCCACACTGCAGGGCCTGGGTTAACCTGGAGAAAGGAAGGAAAATGTCCTTCTCTGAAAATGTGTTCAATTACAAAAAAAACTATTTTGCAGTCTTTATAGAAAGGTTTTTCAGAAAGTACCTCTGTGATTTTAAGACATTGAATGAGTTCATCAGGGTACTTAAAAACAAACTGGCTAAATACACTATAGTTCAGTTAAAGAATAACACACTGTCCTTTATCTTTAGCTGCTTCATTTGACCTATCACTCAGTTTTTCTGGATTAACTTCTGTGTTAACCAATTCTGATGATGTAATATTTACTTCCTCTGGTTCAGTTTGTTTTGTAGCTGCTTCAGTCTCAGTTTTGTCCTCTTCTTCTACTGTTGTAGTGTGTTTTTCCTCAGCAGCAGCAGCTGGTGTTGTGTTTCTGAATGTTATTTCATTGTTATCTTCTACACTTTCAGTTTGTGGGGACTCCTCTGCAACCAAGGCATCTTCCATTAGAGCATCATTGGAGATAGGTTGCATCATTTCCTCTCCATCCCCATCTCCCTCATCTGCAGTCTCTGCAGGTGATGCCGTCTCTTTCTCCTCCACCCTCTGTTCCTTTCCACCAGCCTCCTCTTTTTCCTGCATGATATCGTCAACTGGAGTCAGAGGTGTGAGGTCGAGACATGCCTTAAAAGAGGCTGTTGCCTTTCTCCTGGGAGGAGCAACTGGCTTTTGCTTTTCCAAATCTTGTTTCCACATTTCCTGATCTGTACTGACATCTTTCTCATCCAGAGCCGCAGGATGTTCATCTGTTCTTTCCCAGAAAGGATCATCTGAGACAAACTCAAAGCTTGAGACGCTAAGTGGATCTTCTGGGATTTTCTCTACCTTAATGGAGACTTTCTTCGTCGTCTTCTGCTTGGTTTGTGTAGATGATTGGGCCTCATCCTCTTTAGGTGACAGAGGGAAAGGATCTACATCACATGGAGAAGAGTTGTCACTGGCTCTGAAGAAGTCTGTGATTTCTTCCTCTGAATTTGGCACCCCTCCTTGTTCTGGCTCAGGCAACAAATCATCAAAATCACACAGATCTTGGGCCAATACCCGAGAACCTTCCTCTGGGCTAATGACTTCTTCAGCTGGCTCCACTTCCAATGCAGGTGTCTCATCTATGAGGACATATTTCTCTAAATATCCCCTGGCTTCTCTGTCTGAATGCCTGCTGTGAAAAGACTTCTCAGATGTCAGGCTTTCTGTATCCTCTTCTTTCTCCCGACAGCCGACTGCTTCCTCGTACAGGTCAGTGTAAAGGAAAGCCATGGCTTTGGGCTCCTCCAGTAAAATTTGATCAATAATTTTGAGAGGTCTTTCTGGTAGAAAGATTGGAGTCAGGATGTCCTCTTGGCTTCCAAACAAAGTTGAACCGCTCAGTTTTGATGGGAGTCTAGAGGGTGGGCGTTCATCTTCTTTCTCTAGAGGCTTCATATAGTTGTCTGTACCGCCGTAGAATACTTCATCTAGAAGCTCGCTGCTGAATTCCTCCAGGCTGATTGTGTCTGACTTGTCATTTTCTTCATTTTTTGTTGTGGTGGTGGTGTGGTCTTCAGTCTCCGCAGTGTCCTGGATCTCAGTCCCAGCCTCTTCCTCTTCCTCTTGCTGTTCCTGCACGATCACAGCAGGACCTCCTGGAGCCTCAGCCTCAACCAAGGTGAACGCCTCAAAGTAGTCCGCATTGCCGGCAGCTGCTCTGCCTGGAGGTCGGGCCACTGGAGCCCCAGGTGGATCCATTTTATTTGGACCAATGGAGGACGAGGGATTGACCTGGTCATCACTTGCCTCGTCCATTCCTGTAAACACCAGGTCGTCATAACGAATCTCTTCACTAGCTTTAAGAACAAGGCTGTCCTCTAGATAAGAAAGGTTGTCCACCATTACTTTGCTCTCCTCTTCATCCACAGTGGCCATTTTCGGAGGAACGACAATGTTTAGGATTTCAGAGCCCTCAGACACTAATCTAAACAGCATTTGCTCTTTATCCACCATTGGATCGTTCGCTTCCTCTTCTTCTCCGTCTTCAGTTTTTACATTTAGCTGTGAAACTTCGAATAACTCCGGTCTTCCTGAGATGTTCTCAGAACTTTCTACAACTTGTTGTCCCTTTGATTTTCTCTTCCTCTCTTTAGTTCTCTTCCGTCTTGAGAACAGCTCGTCGTCCATGACAAAGAAGATTTTCCCTGCAGGAACAGACCCAGGTGTTGCAGGCCGCACTGCGACCGGAGAGCTCAGATCCACAGTTCCAGCTTCAGAGGTCCATGGCGTGCTGCTGCGACTCGGGGTCGTTTCCCATGCAATACCGCTGTCCTCGCCTTGCATAGTTACCATGGAGAAGGAGGGGTCCATCATCAGGCATTGCATTTTAGGTTGGACGTTGTCATCGCTGACAACCTCTCGTAAACTAAAGGCAGACAAACATAAGATAGTCGATATTAGAGATAATAATGCACAATCAAAGTGGGTGTTTCTATCATTTCTGTCAGAAAGTAACTTTAAACCATGTTTTTTTTCTTGTGTTTTGAAAAAGTCAGTCCGGTAAAGCTAATAATGTTAGCCAAAACGGGAAGTAGCGTCAGATGAAACCCGGTTGAAATGAACTTATTTTTTAAAATAACAGCTTTAAATGGCCTAGATTTGACAGTTTTAGCTTTTTTGTTAACTGGATTAGAACAATTTAAATATGAAAAAAGCTACAAAATAAATAATTTAGCTAATTACTTTATTATCATTGCGGAGGCTTTGGTTTGAAGTGTTTTGTCCACCCCTTGGCCAAAAGATAGAAAGCCCTCTTTGTGTAACACGATTGTAAAGTTAAATCAACACCATGGTATAACAAGTTCAAAATGTAACTGGGTAATGAATCCATGAAGGGAGAATTCATTGTATTAGGTTACATTCATTTAAGCTAGCTTTTCCTAATAGACTGAATGTATACTAAACACTTATGAGCGACACACGTACAGGTTAGTCACACTAAAGAAATCTCATATCATACGAAAAACAGATCCAATTTAATTGTGTAGAATGAGCCTCTGGAGACTTGGGAATACATGAAATAAAATGAACCATACTACACAGAAAACTTTGACTTTGAGCTGAAGTAATGTTTCCAAAAAACAATATTTAGAATAACTGATCGGTACCTGTTTCTAAGGTTCTCCACTTCATCACTGGCCTCGAGGTTTTGTCCGGTAAAATCTTCAGGTGTCAGCGCTGTCATCTCAGGGTCCACATCCGACGGTGCCACTTCTTCTGTCAGAGCATCCATTGTTGTAATATCTTGATGAATCTGCTTTCACCTCTCAACACAACTCAGTGCTGCTCTGTTGATCTCATTCTAAGCCAAGCGTGCTCCAGTTGAGTCTTCATGCTCAGCGTAATCTTGAAATAGAAGACTGGTCTTCCAGTGTTTCATCTCAAGCATTTGTAACATGCATGGAAGTTCATTTCTGTTTACACAGGATGAACCCTTGCATTTGGCATAAACAATAAATAGGTGAATCTGGGTTAGTTAGTTGTGGCCTGTGACGAATTTGAACTGAGGAAAATGCAGCATCATGTAAAATGCCTGTGTTTTATGGTTCTTACCACGTCTAAATATAATGTAGCCTGTATCCAATGTCAGGAGCCTGTCTGTTATAGCCCCACAAGTTCTAATTAGTTTGGTGTTGTTGTTGTGCAAAAGGGATAAAAAAACAAACATATTAGGCTTTAACCATGTTGTGAGAAAAGTGTTAAATAACATATTTATCAAATTTGAACCCAATAAAAACACATATGAATGGCCTAATCTAATACTTTAATGTTTAAGATGAAATCTGCATAATGTGTTTTAAATTCTACTTTTTATTGACCCATGATTCACCCAAGGCAAATATCAACCTTGCACCTGTTTATGTATATCCTGCTGCGTGTCAGGGAAACTATGTGAGAAATGAAGGACAGGAAGGTTAGGGGGGGGTTTACTTTTAGTCAACAGGTCGTATCTGTGCACAAGTTGTCTTCATGTGTAAAATACCTTCTGAAAATCAAAGTATTGCTCAATGGACATGACAAATGTAGGCTAAATGTTACCGTATTAAACGTGAACTTCCTTTAATACAAATCACATGCATAGTGGTGGATTACAAATATGTTGTTACAAGGACCATATTCCAAATCTTATAAAACTATTAGCAACAAAGTGCATGCCAAAAGAAAGAAACATCTTTTGTCAATCAATAATAACAAATATTTTCATCATCAATTAAATCGCCAATTATCTAATTGTGATTAATTGTTTGGTTTATTAAAATAGGAAGGATCTGTGCATTTAAGTACTGCCAATATCAATATTTGTCCACAAGATGGCAATCATCAGTAGCATATAATGTTGAAATAATGTGTTTGATGCATACCATACATATACAATAATGTGTTTCTGCGTCACTGATAACTACTTATACTACAAACATGTCCCACATTTTTATAAATTGATCATAATGCGGTCTTGTAATGTTTTTTGGACAAAAGAAAGACATTTAGTGATGTCCCCTTGTGCTCTATAAAACAGTGTTTGTAATTATTCATTGCCATGAAAACAAATATTTGTATAGAGTAGCCTACCAGGTTTTCTTAAAATATATAAATCCTTAATACAACAGTTTTTTCACATTTATGCATAAATAATGAATGAATAATTACAATTCTTAGTGTTTTTTTAGTGGATAACGACATTGTGCTTCCATATATACGGTAGTTTGTATTTTTGGAGTGAAATTAAAGAATCTTGAATCCAATAATATAAAGCTGAAATGGGTCATTCTGTAAAAGGGTTACTTGTTCTTATTTTTAACAGTGTGTTTCTACAATGAGGTTTAACTATCTATATACTACGAGTACATCTTTCACCACTGCAAAATGCATAGCTTTAGTATTTGAAAAAGACACACCGGATGTGAGGAAACACTTTTGCCAATTACGTCAACATTTCAGCGGTGACGTGATGACGTCGTACAGGGCAGCAGTGGTGGATGGAGCCGAGTTAAATGAATGAGATGCGGGCTGATATGGACCAGACAGGCGGATGATAAGAGGATGAACCGGCCGATGGAGCATCAGGATCATCATTTGAATCCCGGTTCAACATTTGAAGAAAAAGAACAGTAAATTGAATCAGCTATTTTTAAATCTGTGACTGCAGATACAGCCCTATACATTTTTCGGTTAACATTAACGTCGGTGAAGCTGGAGCTGTCTTCGTTGATGATGATAAAACCCTGATTATGCACCAAGTGTTTTCTCCCATACAGCGGGGATGAGGCTCTCTCTTGAAGCAGGATAGCAACCATCGCAGAGCGGGGTTAATAGAGGAATGAGCTGCAGCAGGGAACAACTCTTTAATGCCAAACTCGGTTGAAGGAATTTAATTTAATGGCACAGCGGACTGCACGAAAGAGCCAGCGTCTGAAAGCGGGATTTATGAGAAGTCGATTTATTGGACGTTTTTTCGGCTGAGGATAAGTAAATCTACATCTGTCATATTTCAGTGTTGTGTTACATGTTTGTTCACACAGGCAGCAGCTAACGGAGTAACGTTACTTTAATCCTGCTAGCAACGGGTGGATCATATTTTGCGCAGTTTTACCGGTTAGACAACCGGTCGTTCGTCTATTTCGAATAGTTTTTCTTTTTATTTTGGCAAATTTAACAGCCTAAATGATTCTATAAATCACACTGCCTTTCCTGCCTGTATGGCCCCGAGTTTAGCCCGCTAATCGTGGTTTTATGAGGAGTTTTATTTAGCTAACGGTTGCAACTACTAGTTAGCAGTCAGTGCTGCCGCTGCGTTCATCATGCATGCACAGACACGTTTGCTTGGATGAAACCATCAGACAAAAATGTACTCCAACAAGGGCATGACAGAAACAACACCACCACCAAGCCCATGTCTGGACTGAGAGGAGCTCCGTGGCCGTGAAGCCACAACAACCACAGCGGCGTTAAGTTGGACACACTGAGAAGGGGGATCAAAAGCTGAAGCTAGGCTGTTCACATCGCCCTCAAGAGACCACCGAGAGGATAATTTTCGACTCAACGAAAGAGGCAGAAATACAGCAAAAATGGGGTATGTAACAGGCATTTCAAGGTGAAGTTCTCCACCTACATGTCAGTGTATGACTGACTTTATTTTTCCAGATTTTAGCAGGGCACCAACGCTGAAACACTTTTAGCTTAGCCACCCATGGCTAACTAAATGAAGAGTTCTCCTGTCAGCTCTTATGACATACTAAAGAAAATGCTTACACCTATAAAGAAAACTTACTTACAACAAATAATAACATTCAAAAGAGGTTGTCCATCAGTATATCCACTTACAACCTCCATACTCCAAAAAGATAGAGCATTCAAAAGCTTTATTGTCATATTCACAGTAGCTACAGTGTAGTTATGGCAATGGAATCTGCATGCTCCTCCAACAATGCAACATTAACATATATACAACAAATAAAGAGACAATAAAACAGATTAGAAATAGAAAAAGGTCAAGAGAATGTTTCAAGACTAATGTGCAAGTAATGCAGGAGAAGTGAAATACATGTAGAAAAGAGTAAGATGAGCTAAAGATTAGGCTGTAATAAAGCAGGCTATGGAGAAAGGGTCAGAGGTCAGACTGTTGCTTATTTTAGTACAATATGATTAAAAGGTTGTAAGACAAAAAGTATGCTACTGTCTGCTCAATATAAAATAAATGCAAATAATTTATTTTGTGCCGCCAAATGGAAAGCAAACGTACTTAAACTAAATGATGGTCTGGTGGGGGACCAGACCATAATGATCTCCTTGCTCTTGGCTGGTGTAATGCATGTGCTTGAACCTGCAGATGTATGGTGATTCTCCTGATCAAGAGCGACCTAGTTTTTACTCCAGAGGACAGCAGATGATGTAGCATGTGATTGGTTTGTTGTCATATTGGGGCAGGGGTGGGGTGGGGGGTCGAAGCACATCCTCTGTAATTCTCAAGGCCAATGGTTATAATCCAGTCCCACAATCAATTCCACAGAACCAGAGCATGTCCTATGTGTGTACTTACCCCTATAATTAGCAAGTCACACTTCAGCTGTTCAAACAAGTACTGGAGCTTCAGTTCTTGTATAATAGATGACCGTAAACAAGCCGTCCTCCTCAGACTTGGCACTTCTGAATAAAACAGTGTCCAAGGAATATTTTCTGCTTAACCAGTTTGGAAAGTAAGTCAGAGTTCAACTTGCTGCCAGCATGTTTTCCGGTTAACAGACACATATTCTGGAAGCACAGGAATTTAAGTACAATGAACAAGCGATGATTTTATCAGGTGGCTCTGCACTTGAGTGTTTAACTTTAAAACCATTTGATAATATATGATTTGTTGAAAGATCTCCAATTAATTAATGTAACAACACATTAAGAATGAAACATTTCAGAAAATCTAAAAAGAAAGGACACTTCTTCCTTTTTTTAATCTCAGGAGTTGTGAGGGACCTTTTAAAGTTACACTTAAATTACTAATGAAAGCTGTCAATCATTAATCAAAAATGCCCTATTTCCAATTACTCAAATTTAAATATATTCGCAATTTCTTCCTCACATTATGATGATATAAGCTGACATAAGGATAACACTATGAGAACTTGTGAGGGCCTTGTTTTTGCTATTTGCTGACAACCATATCACTATTAAACCAATGGCTCAAAAGAGACAAAACAGTAGATTACACAAATGAAATAATCCTTAGATGCAGCCCTAATAATTACTTTTACCAGCAAGGAGGGTTGTGTTTGATTTTCATTTTCATAAAACTTGTTGTAAGGGTCTAGTACGGGCCAAGGAAGAACCCATTACATTTTAAAGAGCGGATTCAAATAATGCGACAGATACACAGATTATTTCTTATATGGAAGCTACTTTGGTGGAGGTAAGTGCTCTCTGGGTTCATTTCTGTCTCAAAGTGTTTCTGAGCTGATGTTGCAGGATTGTCAACTTAGCTGAGTTGGTTTCTGTTTCTTGTTCACTTTCTATGTGAGTCTTGTCATATATTACACATATTACAGTGTGGTCGAGAGAGAGAGAGAGAGAGAGAGAGAGAGAGAGAGAGAGAGAGAGAGAGAATATGTTTGCAGCTCATGCCCAGCCGTGAGTCGCATGGTTGTTACCATGACAACGCAGCAGCTGAGTTAGTAATGCAGGTTTATTTCTCTGCAGCCGTCCGTGCTCAAACACAGTATTTGATGAATGAATGTAAACTGTTTTCTATTGTTAAATTAAAATGCCCTTTTTGTGAAGTGAAGCGTAGGAAGGCATTCAATTGAGAATAAAATGAAATAAGGACGACATTTGTTTTAGAATTGTAAGAGTTTTGGTCCCAAAGATTTATTTAGTCAGACGTTTTCTGATGCTTTTTCATTTTGACCAATTTTCCTTACTTTCTTATCTTATGAGTACATTTCTAGTGAACACAGGGTTAAAAGTGAGGCTTTTTCAAGATTCTTTGTCGAGATTCTTGGATATCCAGATCTGTCGATTAAATCAATCGAATATAGTCGTGTGTCAATAAACTAAGAGTTTCTTTAGTCAAAGACAGCTCTCACAATTCTTTCATTAATCAATAGACGATGCAGAACCCTAACCCTAACCCTAACCCAACCATCAATCAGTTAATCGAGAAAATAAACAGATCAATTGATGATGGCACTTGAAGAAGTACCTGTATCATACAAAATAATTAAATTAAAATGACTCTTCCTAGATGTTAGGATGCACTTTAATGTCATTAATAAAAACTATTTTTGCGTTGTTTAGATAAAAACTAAAGACATTAAAAGACATTCAAATATTAGATGAGTGTACATGAAAATAAGTTGTTAATTGCAGCCCTACTTAAAATGTACGTCATCAATAAATACTCTTTAACGATTCAGGTAAAGAGGTAGACAGAGGGCAACCTTTATCATAAATAAGGATAACATAACTTCTCCCATGAATCCAAGCTGACTCTAAATATGGCATCAACAGGACTCAATGTCCTGAGTGACTGATTTGCAACTGTCGCGATCAAATCTGAGCTCATGAACTTTAAGCCGCAGACACTACATGTCTTTGTTTCCTGGTATGCAAACAAACATTTGTGTGTCTGTGTGTCTTCTGTTTGCTGCTGCTTCTAAGTGGAGAGCTGCTGATTTGATAACATCTGCGGTCAGATTCCTCTGTCAAAGCTCCCGTCATTGAGACATGACTGCCTCAGTATGTTTCATTGTGACAAGGGATTATGGGCTAACAGTCGCCTCACACTCATTGAGGGACACACAAACACACACTCACACACCATGAGGGCAGATTCTGATCTAGGCCACGCTGTCAGACTAATGACACCCTGAAATGTTGAATAACCCGCTAAATGTGGTCAGGGCACACACTCTGAAGTCATAGTGTTTTCCAACAATCAAATTAAAGAAATTACTGTATCTAGTAATGCCTCTTATGCTGATTCATGTTTTTCATCTTAAAATGACGCTAAAGCTGTGTTTTGTCTTACTAAAACCATGAAAGAACACAAAGTATTTGTTGTGATAAATTGGCCCCATACAGATAGCTGCGGAAAGAATGAACAAGCCTACCTGTATTGTTTTTGTTCGCCTGCCCCTGACGTCTTGCTGCATTTGTAGGTTGCCGTAGTAGAAGGACACTTATCTTGTTTGCATCATTTCATTGTGTTTTACCATTTTGTGGTATGAAGACAACTACTTCTCTATTGGTTAAAACCCACTGAGGCCACAAACATGTGTCAACGTATTACTTGATAGTGTGTTAACATTTGATATGCCCCTGTCGTGGCCAAAATCATAAAGAAATAAAACTGATAAGTTAACCCAAAATATAACTGCCACTAAGGAACCAGAAAACGAATTGTAAGATGACCCAAGTCAAGACAAGATGGTACATTTATTTGTCGATCAAATATCATCCAAAGTACAACATTTCCAATATATTCCCTGTGCCTTTCCTATGCTGTGCTTGTTTCGTTCTGGTAAAAAACGATATGCCTACTGGTGCTCGGGCTCCCAACACCACCTGCCCCAATATATACTATTACACCAGGTGCCCAAAGATGCCTTCAAAATAAAAGCATTCAAAACGACTTTTACAAACTTAAATAAAACCAGGAAATAATAATACATTTACTATAAACAGAACAGCAAGAAAATACATTTTTAACTATTCAATAATATAAAGCAATCTAAAGCTCTAAAATTCCCCTTTTAAAAGCTAAATATATTTATTTTTTTGTAACCAGAAAATATCCATATTGAATCCAAAAATATTTCCAAACTAGATCTCACGTTAACTTTGTGTTGGCTGAATTAGTTTTCACACAGATAACTCATTGGCCTTCTGTGTTCCTTTTGAAAGAGAAGAATACAAATATATGCAAAATTGTATTGAGTCACCAACTTAAGGCTTCAGCTAGTTTACAGTGTCTTCTACAGATATGAGAAATATCATTCACTCAAATAATTGTAGGAACCAGCAGTCAGGGACTACACATGAGAATCCTGACTATTATTGACCTCTGTGTGAAAACAATAACCCATTGCATTTCAATAGAAAAGCTGCCTCTGTTATCATTGGTAATGTGACAGGCAAGGTGAGAAACCTTTAAGCCAACCTCTCAAACTCTCCTTGTCTTTAACCTCGCTGGTTTTACATACCAACTGTGCTGAACATGTCCTGACTCCTGATAGACAACATGGAAGACTGGTTTTAAGCAAATCATGTCCGAGGAAGTGTAATACCTTCATCATGCTCACACGGAAAAACCTCCACAGCAAAGATGACACAACTACACACAAATTACATGAACTCTCAAAAGAGTGTATCAATGGGCAAATTACAGATCCCAAACATTTTATATTATTTTACTTTCCTACTTTTATTCTTTAATACATATTCATTTATTAATGTACCATATTTGATGTTTTCAAGTGTTTGGATTAGCAATGTAACTTAAGTTATCAAATCAATATAGTTGAGTGAAAGCATAATATTTCCATCTGACATGTAGTGAGGTAAAAGTATAAACTAGTATCAAAGTAAAGTATCTCAAAATTGTATTTGCAGTACTTACTAATCTGTTTTTAAATTCCACCCTTGGTGCTGCTCTACTGAAATACTATTTAACACACTCGGTCAGATATAGTACAGTATTTCTCTCCTGCGTGTTTGAGCTGGTGTGAATCCCGTGTGCACGGCCTCGTGTTCCCACCATCTCTTTGATTAACTGTGTCTATCTTTAAATAACATCTGCTGACTTAATTAACACACTGAGACGTGAGCAGAAGATCCCTCAGAGGCTGAACAACTGCTGTGTGTCCCAGAGGGGAATGCCAGCCGACCAATCAAATGTACCCCTCCTGGAAGACTATCATCTTGGGACCAAAACTAGATCATTAAAAGAGTTCAGTTTCAAGATTAAGTTGTTACTAATGTCCAGCAGTGGAATATAAATAAGTGAGTTAACTCAAGAACTCTACTTAACATTTGAAAATGACTTGGGTTTTTCCATTTTATACTACTATATAATCTACATCTCACACTATTGAAGGTTTTCCTCCACTACTTTAGTCTCATAACTAAAGAGAATATGTTTAAGTTATATTTTTAACACCCTTAATATCCAGTGAAAACCATGTGTGTAAGATATGTTGCATTTGTTTGTTTTTGATGAACTGAAATAACGCTTTTATATGGCCAAAAGGTTCTTTTATGATTGGCTCATTAAATATTGAAATGTATATATCATGATATAGCATGTTTTCTGTTAATTCATGTAATTGATTTTGGACATTTCCAAACAAAGTCGGGTCAGGACATCTCCAGGCATGAATCTGCTCTTAGTTTCTTATGGATTTATTTAGACAGTTCCAGGATTCTTTTAGCTTTAAATCCAAGACCTTGCACATTTATTTTCATTCATAACAATGTTTGGAAGCCGCCCAGAGCCCGATGATCTCTGTCCGTCGGGCCAGGTGCCTCCAGGTCACCTTTACTGTCTCAACCTGCTGTTCAGCTCTGGTCTGCACACATTCACACATACAAGGCCTCACAGGTTTTTTTGACATCCTGACGCTTCTTCCTTTGGCCAAGTCATTGGAGCATGTCACTTTTTGCACTGCCTCTGTAGCAGGTAGAAAACAGGATCTCCACAGCTACATCAGCCAAAACAAAGAGAAGAGACGCATACATCTACTCGCTCTACAGTATCGATCTGAGGCCATGTGATCTCAAATCAATTGACATGCTGTTTTTCAATTTGTCAAATCTCCGTTTTGTCATGCGAGTTGTTCGGGAGCTGCACTGTCTGCATTGAGACATGTAGAGCATTCACTACACATTTACCACCAACACACAACATCTCTAGTCTAAACTGTCATATAATTCAGGAAACAGTAAATGGTCCAGTTCCTGATGGTTCTCCATGTCGGAAACGGCTCTGCTGCAACTGCTCAGAAACTGTTTCGAAAACCATCTAGAAGCAAATTAGAATGTCTGCAATTTTTCTTTCGATGAATAATTCCCGTTTGATTAAAGAAAGAAATCTTAGGACCAACGCACAAGGTTTATAATTTCTATTCTTCATCCAAGTAACATCCTGCATTTCTTATTCAATGTTTTATTCAAGTGTTTGATTTAACACAAGCATCAAAAACTAGAAATGAGCCCACACCTAAAAAACAAACGGTATATTAAAATGCTCCTCGGATGGTCACGTTTCCAAAGTTGGAAAGACGTGTTTCCGACCTGGTCATGAGCTTTAAACCGTTATGTGTAAACAACATGGAAGCTACAAACAAGATTGATGGTATGTATTTGCTCAAGGCATTTAAAAACACTTAGTAGAATTAACATAAATCAGGAACAACATTTTGCAATGTTTTCCTACACCACATCTCCCGCAGCACAAATCTTGGAATTTAAGTGTTTTATTTCATATTTTGCATTTCATGTTTTACTGTAATTGTGATATACAGCAGAATAAATATCATTAAGATGGCCAAAATACGATCTTCATGATTGTTTGTATGACATTATCTTTGTCAAGCTTCAATGAGGCTTTATTTGAATCTAAATCATTTGTAATGACTTGATCCCCCCTGGCTGTAAAGGTTCATTAACTCTGTCTAATGGAGTGATCCTGGAGTTATTAGGAATGTATTTGGGTTTTGGAACAATACTGACAATCTACATAATGAAGCACATTTAAATGTTTGCAGATGTATTTGATTTTACACCATACATTCTTTAATGTATTTTTCCTACCAAATCACTTCTTGCAGATACAATGTGAATTGAGTATGCTTACTATCTGTCCTCATGTGCCACCTTAAACTATTTATTTAAATATTTACCCTTTGTACATAAACCCACTTGTTCTCGGTGTGAAGGCCTAATGGCTGTGTGTGTTCCCCCCTCGCTCAGTCACTGTTAGTGCTGCAACACAGCCAGCTGGTGAATTATGGATGTGCTGGGATCTGTGAGCTTTTTTTCTCTCACCTTCCTCTGATTCAACACATTCCTCAATACTCTCAGTTCCTCTGGCAGGGCGGTGTTATTATTCACATGGTTACTGGTGTCCTTTAGCCATGTCAGCGATGCAACTCTAGGAATGGTCCTTTGGCTCTAACATCGATTGGATAGATTGTAGACACATTCATTGTCCCCGGAGGATAAAGCCTACACACACTGGTGCTTCCCTGACTTCATTGTGAGGTGGACATTTACATTTTTCAGTGAAATGTCTCGAAAATAAATCACTAGATTGCCACAACATTTGGTTCAGACCTTCATGTTCCCCTTGGCAATCCATTTTATTTTTGAAATGCTTTGGTTTCTGACCAAATATCTGCTTAACCAATGACATTCCTGTGTGCTTCCGGTGCTTAGATTACTTATAACAGATGTTTGCTAAAATGCTAAACTATGATTTTGAACTTGGTAAGCATAAAAAACGTAAACATTCTTACCTTCACTGCGCCTATAAACAGCCTTGCAAAGTTAGAATGGAAATCTGCAAACTTTGGTCTTGTTTATGTATTATTGTTATTAATCTACATGCACACATTGTTTGCTGAAATGTGTCAGCAGGAGTGATTTAAGGGTTTCTAACTTGATCTATTATGGTGTAACCAAGCTTATTTCTTCTCTTTAAAGGCCGGTATTTAGTTACGGCATATTTAAAAATGAACTGCAAACTTGAGGCCCTTTGCACGGATACTCTTTCTGACTCTTCCATCTCCCCCTCCTTCCTCCCCCCTCTCCCACAGAGAGCAGCCCATCTTCAGTACCCGGGCCCACGTCTTCCAGATCGACCCCAACACCAAGAAGAATTGGGTTCCCACGAGTAAACATGCTGTCACGGTCTCATACTTCTTCGACTGTACCAGGAGTGTATATCGAATCATCAGTCTGGATGGATCTAAGGTGTGTGTGTCAAGCATTCACTGCAGTGTGTGTGTTGTTCCTTCTTCTAATGCAGAACCAGAGAGGCCCAACTTAACTTATCTTGTTCCATAACTACACGTGATATTCAATATTTCCCACGTCTGCTCCCAGTTCCTCTGCCTTGTTTACCTCGGCTCGGAGGCAGTGGAGGAGGCGTTGGGGCTGTCACATGTATCTTTGTGGCAGTGATTATTTTAGTCCTGAGCGGGGTGCAGGGGTGGGGTTACTGTAGCATGGTTATGTAAGAGCTTCTCTGGGTGGCTCCTGCTGTGGTTGGAGCAGCAAGTTTCTGCTGTGTTCTGCTGGAAATAGCAGAGATCGGGTGGGCCGGTGCTGGAGGACTTTTCTATTCAGACAAACAATACGTCCTCTCAGCAGAGAAGAAGAAAACAGAGACAGATGTCACACAGAGAGAAAGGTTTCTGGTTGAGTTTCTTTCAAAATTCCACAAGTGGGACTTTTTTTGAAAACACTTGAAACACTTTGAAAATGCCTGTAGATTTCCTAGACCAGTTTAAAGTTGTGATCCCATAAAACAAAGCCTTGTCCACCACTTGTTTTCAGTGCAGCCAAAGACTGGCTTTTTAATATCAGTATTCATTGACTGCTTATTTCTTTGCACATGCATCACTGTTGTTGTTCTAGCTTTCAGAGATTTTTGTAATTTTTAGCAATATATATAAACTGGAAATGGGATTTTCTCATGGAACCCTGAGACTGAAGTTTTTAGAGAACAGCCGAGAAACAGTGTATGAGAAATATTGATTTATTTTGTATGTGAAACTTCTTTATTAAGCATTTATATATATCAAAATCCTTTTGTTTTAGAGAACAAGAGATCACTACCTTCTCTCATTGCTTTGAATGAGAGAGCCCTGATGGTTGAAAATAAAATATGATGTGTTTGACAAACAAAATATTTCTTTATACTTTGTCCTCCGCAGGCAATTATCAACAGCACCATCACCCCCAACATGACGTTCACCAAGACGTCTCAGAAGTTTGGCCAGTGGGCCGACAGCCGGGCGAACACCGTGTACGGCCTGGGCTTCTCCTCTGAGAGCCAGCTGGCCAAGGTGAGAGTCTGGTTGAAATATAAGTGTTTATACTTTCCCATTTAAAAACATTAGCGTTGTGTTTTTGAGCGTCAGTTTTACCATCTCCTTATTTTTTAGTTTGCAGAAAAGTTTGCTGACTTCAAGGAGGCGGCGCGGTTAGCGAAGGAGAAGTCTCAGGAGAAGATGGAGCTCAGCAGCACTCCCTCTCAGGTAACACCATCAACACCCCTGCTACGTCCTCTAGCATGAAACACTGCTCACGTGTACAGACATATGTTGCTTCTAGCTTTTATATTTTACTATGTAGTGTTTATGATTTTGTATCTTTTGAAGAACTGCAAAAAGGAGTCCAAAACAAATGTCCTTACAAGGATAATAAAGTGTTTTTTTTTATCATAGCTAACATGACGATTAGTGAGTGAAAAATGGCAGCAAATAGAGATAACAATGTAAAAAAATGACACGTGAAGCCCCTCCTTCTTACACAAGTAACATTAGCATTACAAAGTTTTGCTAGCATGCATCCTTTTGTTTCGGCTGCAACTGGAGTGTAAAGCATTGAGACATCATCATTTTGGATGTATTACGTTGGTATCTTTTGTACTTCCTGCTGTTAACCATCCAAATATACCAGACTGCTATAGAAACATAGAGCCAGATGTCTATAGCATAAAGTTCACATGCACCTTAAAACAGATGTTTCTTGATCTTTATTTTCAGTGCAAAACTATCCACCACTTTATACAAACTCTCTGCTAGTTGCTAACAGCTACATCTGCACACTGACACTGACACACTTGTTCCTGAGATTTAGAGGTTGTTACTTTCTAAGATTTTGAAATGAAAGGCACAAAAACTCTTCACCTGGATTCTTTCTGGTTTAGTATGTTTTACAGTGGAGTACCCTTTTCTTTTAGAATCAGTGTTAATTCAATGTCAATAACCTTAGTAAGGAGTCTCAATTTGACATCAAAGCCAACCTAGGATAATTAGAAATGGATTGAAACTAATGGTAATGTCACATACTGTGCTGTTTTGTTTTTCACTCATATCAGCATTAGCCTCACATTAAAGCCACTACTCTAACACCTCTCTGCTCTCCCTAATGAATCCTCCTCAGGGTGGCGCTGTAAAAAGGAATGTGTTGTCAGTCAAACCTGGTAAAAAGAAGGTAAAGAAGAAATGAAATGACTATGATGGCCCTTTTCCCCCAAGTCTTACCCTCAGTTCATGATTCAAACTCCATTCAGGTGTCTCCCATGCAGTGTTATTACCAAAACATATTTATTTCTAAACGACGGGATGGATTTCTCCATATGTATTAAGTCCAGGCTTATCACTTGTTATTTTTTTTCAGGAGAATCACATTTGTAATGACCATGATCTCCTTAAGACTAACAGCCTAACTACCAGAAGAACCCAGTCTTTGTGAATTCATCCCACATAACCCTCCGGTTTTCCTTTCATGCTCTCAGAAAGTGACAGTGATCTGCACTAAGGGATGTTTGATCACCTGACACGTGACAATTATATGACGTTTCTTTAGAGGAATTCAATCAAAGATCTAATATGCATGTGCAAATGTTTCAAATATTCAAGTGTTAAGAGATGAACTGGAATGTTAGACCAGTAGAATGGGCACAAAAAACAATCCTAGCTTTAAGCCTCGCTAACTACATTCCACAGAACATCCTGTACATTTTTGAGAGCACAGAATGATTTACACTTTCATGTTTTTGTTTGTTTGTTGTGTCATGATCCAAATGTAAAGGGATAGTTCAGCTTTTGTGAAAACATATTTGTTCCCCCTTTTTGCTGATGTTTGGAGGAGAAGATACCACACCGCTATCTACATTAAACATGAAGCTACAGCCAGTTAGCTTAGCTTAGCATAAAGACTGTACACAGGGGGAAATAGCTAGCCTTGCAGTTTTTGATTCATAATCAGCTGGATTTGAAAGACCAAGGCTAGCTGTTTCCCCCTGTTTCCAGTCGTTGTGCTAAGCTAAGCTAAGCTAGCTCTCTCCTAGCTTCATCTTCATTTTCAGCATGGCAGCGAACACATTTTTTCCTCAAATGTTGAACTGTTCCTTCAACAGATAATAACATCATTTTCTTTTGTCCCCCATGTGTCAGGAGTCCATCCCGGGGGATCTGCTGTCTCCTTTATCTCCAGACACCATCAACGGCACGGAGCTGGAGCGTGTCACACCTGACACGCCTCAGCACATCGAAGCCAGAGCAGAGCCATCCCATAAAACACTGCCTCCCTCACACAGGTGAGCCACAGCCAGGTTAACCCAGGATCAGTCAGAAACAAAAGGAAGCTAATGTTACCAAGTATTGCCTTCCTCTTTGTACAGTAGTGTGTATTTAACAGTTTTCACCGCTGAGTGGCAAAGACAACCACCATTTCCGTTTACCTCAGAGCCGAGCATCTACCATCAACACACACTGCATTTAGTTTTCTTCAGTTACTTTGGTTGATCCACTGTCCACCATTTTTGTTACCAGGATGGTGGCCAATAGCTACCAGCAAAAAACAGAAGCAAAACTCTACCCCTGCTTTATTCGCGCAATTGTTGGCACACTTTTTCTGTGCAGTAATTTGAGAGTACATTTTCCTTGGAGGTGATACAGAGAAAAATGCACAGTAAAAGCTAATTATTATTATTAGGGAAACTAACCTAAATGCAGATGATTTCATTATTATTCAGACATTACATTGTGAAATCAACTTCTACTTCCCCTATCTCATGACCAGTTTAAACTGGTTCCATAGTTTACGGTCTTCTCAATTTTCATTGCACCTGTGTTTTTTATTTTTTCAGGAATGTTTTTTTATATGCTTGTAGGATTCTTTTTTTATTGTAAAGTGTCTTCGTGTACTTAGAAAATATTATTATTATATTCAATATATACTTATATTTACTTCACATATATACACATTTATATACATATACGTTCAAGCACAAAAATCGTCTATCGTCTTTTCTTCTCTTAATAACGTTTCAATTGTAATCCTGATCATATAAAGGTCCCATTCAGGACTGTGTGTAGCTTCCTCTCCGTTAGCGACTCTGTGGTGCTGATTTAAAATGGAATTGGCACAGAGTGCTGCGGCTCCTGTCGATTCCTGCATTCATTATTAATCTGGTCCCCGGGCCTCCGGACAGCATTAAAGCATTACATTAAAATACTGAAAAGCTTCCTATTAATTATAAACCACTGGATGAGTGGGGATAGTTTTGTCAGTTGTGCTTCAGGGGATATTAATGCTGCAGGAAGACTTTAGAAAGTTATCCATGTAGAAATGAAAGCTCTTTTTTCTCAAATACCCACGATAATCACACAACCTTGTACTCCAAGTTGGACATCAAATGTTAAAGAGCCTCTCTAATGGTCTCTCCCTCACATCCCAGTTCCTCCAGTATGAATAAGCACTGGGAGGCGGAGCTGGAGGCTCTGAAGGGGAACAACGCCAAGCTGACGGCCGCTCTGCTGGAGTCCTCGGCCAACGTGAAGCAGTGGAAGCAGCAGCTGGGGGCGTACCAGGAGGAGGCGGAGCGGCTGCACAAACGGGTAACACTGCACACGTGATCCCATCCTTTGAAAGCTCACCTATCATGCTATATTTGAACAATATATTATAGGGCCATATCTATACAAAACATGTCTCTGAAGTGTTTTGCTCAAAATACAGATCACCTATTGTAGCCATGCGACATACCCCTCTATTTCAGCCCTGTTACAAAAGGGCTGATTCTGGGTCAGTAGCTTCGAATGTAACCGAGCTGCTGCTGGCCACGCCCCTTTGGAGCGTGCAGGCAAGCAGTGAGCTGCAGAGAGAAGAGAAGGATGGTAACTCAGCAGATACTCAGCTAAACTCTGCCGTGATTAAACGCCATGTTATGTTCCAAACCACTTCAAGGATTATTTCGGAAACAGTATGGAGCTCAAATGCTTTTTCTCTCGCCGGTTTACCACAAGGCGAGTTCCTTTTTTTATCCGGCTTTTTTACACATATTCTCTCCAGTACAGGTTAGCTCTGAGTGTTAGCGATGCTTGCTAATGTAAACAAAGACCATATTACGTCCAAAACAGTTGGCGCGTTGTTTCTGATAGCAACGTTTCTGATAGGGCTGTGGGTGTAAAGCCAGCCCACATTTGAGTAATGTCGTCATGACCGCAGCAAATCTGGATCAGCTCCGTTGTTCCCCCACTTTTAGAGATGTGGGTACGGAGGAAAAGAGAGAGGGTTTTAATTTCTGAAACTTTGTGAGTTCCCTGGCACACTGGGGACACATATGTATAAAATAGATCAAAAAGTGCATTTTGCAGAGCAGGTGACCTTTTAAAAGTTCACTTTGACTATGTTCTGATGAAGATTATTGTTTGTGTTCCAGGTGACGGAGCTTGAGTGTGTGAGCGGCCAAACCACAGTGATCAAATCCCAAAAGACAGAACTCAACCAAACCATCGAGGAGCTGGAGGCGGCGCTGAAGGCCAAGGAGGAGGTACAGGGAGTGTGTTACTAAGACATTCTAATGAAGTGTTACACAGCTTGTTTCATCTTTTAATATTCATTCTTTCTCTTTATACCCTACAGGAGTTAGAGAGACTTAAAGAAGAGGTGGAGAGTGCCAATGGCTTTCAGTTTAAGAAAGAGTCCCTTTCACAGAAACTACAGGTGAGCAAAGCGTTACATGATAGCATGTGGCTGCTAATGCTGCATTCAGGTTCTTCTGAAAAGGCTATGTATAAGCGCAGCTAATACTCAGCCTTTATACATTTTGTGAATTTATAACTGCTCTAATATCTCAAACTTTGCTAAAAGTGCTCAGAAGTCTTCACAAGCTGATGATAAATTGGCCACTAAGCCACCATTTCCTGCAGTGCGTTGAAAGTGAAATACATTTGAAAAATCAATACCCCAATATTGGCTCTGTTGCAAATATCTTCTGTCTGTGTGTATCACCCTATTTTGTCCAAGGCATCCTTTTTTCTTACCTTTTTCTCTAACTAATCGATATCAACCTGAATTATCCAGTATCGGTAACGCTATTAAACATCAGACAAGCCATAGTTGAGAGTTTTATGTTCACACTTCATGTACACTTTTAACTGCATTACGCATTTTAAGATATTTTAAATTGATAAATATATAATATATATCGATATAGATTTGGATCCTTTTTGATTCATTTTAAGATGTTCAGAGTTAAAGACCAGTTGGGAACTACCTTGTTGCACTAAATCTTCAACATTTACGGTAAACCTGCGCGTGTTGTTTGTCTCCAGGACACGGAGTCCAGGAACCAGGCGTTGGAGTCACGGCTGAGCGAGCTGGAGCAGCGCCTGGAGGGCCAGCAGCAGGAGCGCGAGGCGTTCAGGGACAGTCTGCGCTCGCTGCTGGAGCTGCTGGACGGGAAGATCTTTGAGCTGACGGAGCTTCGCGACACGCTGGGGAAACTCCTGGAGAGCAGCTAGAGACGAAACACTGTTAACACATCTCATCATCGTCATCATCACAGCCAGCGCCAGGAGGAAGAACACCTGCATGTTGGCCCTCACTGACAGAACTTGAATTAGTTTTGTCTCCACATGTATACGTGTGAAAGTTTACACACAACCTGATGCATTTACGGTACACACTTTTTTTGCTACGTCAGATTTGTACATGTTTACAAACCAGCCGAGCGAACGAGGCTTTGCTCGTCGGATCATGCCTTCCCTGGAATATTCTTTACATTAAAAAAAAAACAGAAATTGAATCTCCGTTTGCGGGGACATTTTGCTTCTTCAATCATGCAGACTTTTTATTATCGAGCTAACGAGCTGCGCATTATTTTCCGAGCTTCACTTCGGTGCATTCAGCTGGAGCCGGGGATTGCTCCTTTTTCCTTTTCATCATCAGCCAAATGAACACTAGGAGTCAGAGGAGAAGGACTCGAGCTTTTCTTCAACACTCTGATTCATTTTTAAACTCTTGAGGAATGTCATGAAGAGAAAACTACAAATGTTCCTCCTGTGACTGAAATCCATCGAGGGACTGCCAAAAAAAAGAAAAAGACTTATATTCTTCTACAATAGTTGAGCAATACAAAAAAAGGGAGCATCAGAGTGTAACACTTTCCACTCTCACTTTCAGGTACTTCTCTCTCGGACATGTCTAGACCCCAAGCGATTTTATTCACTTTCTTTCTATACACTTTTTTAAAGAATAGTGCACTTGTAAAAATGGAGTTTGTGTGTATGAGTGAATTCTCTCCTCTTGTTTCTGTTGCGACTTTAGGTGCAATGATTGAATCCTTTTTTTGTCGTTAATTATTACTAACTGTTACTGATGATGTACAAAAGCAAAAGGACTTTATTTACACGTCATCTTTTTTTATTGTCTGGTACGTCGGTGTTGATTGAGTTTTGTTTTTATCGGAAAAAACTGGCAATATTTTTGAACTATTTATGAAAATGAAAGGAGAGTATAAGGAATGAAGCATAGGTTGGGTTTGCAGAGAATCTATTTTCTTTTGCCAAATAATGTTTTCCTGTACAGATTTGAATTGTTGCTGATGTTGCCTTTGACACGCATCAATGGTAGCAAACTAGCGGTACTTTCTTTTTTGTGGGATTTACTGTTGCCAAAAATTCAGCGACGTTAAGAGGAATGGTATATAATTCACCTGAAGAACACTATTTAAGGGCTTGTTGTTAGTTCGGGTACATTTGGGAGACTTGAATGATTTTAGCGTTGACTTTATCACGTTGAACATTACGAATATTGCAGCTTGAAAGGGAAAAAAAAACATTTGAAAAAACTTTTAAATGTTGATTATACCACATGCTTAAAAAACACAATTGTAATTTTGAGTTTTTGGTAAAAGAACAGTAAAATGAAACTAATGAGGTCGTGTCTTATTTTCACAAACTGGTCTTCAACACTTTCATGTTGCACATTGGCTCCTATTGGTGGAAGAAGTATGCAGATATTAACATAACTACAAATAGCAATACTACACACATTCAAAAGCACTATGTAACACTTGTGTTTCTATTAGCTAGTGCTTCAACACATTGTACGTGAGGGGCGGGACATCTCTGAGCGGTTGACCAATCATAACAGACCCAGCCAGCTAACCAATCAGAGCAGGCTGGGCTCTGGTTTCAGACAGAGGGTGAAAAGAGGTACTGCAGCACAGGAAGTATGAGAACAATAAAGAGCTTTCTGAACATTAAAGCTTGGAGACATGTCACAGTAGAGGTTAAAAAAACTAATATGAAACTGAAAATAATCATACTCTTTAAAACTACATTTTAGTTAGTTACAAAGCATCTTTTAAATAAGTTAAATGTTCAACCTCGATATAAAAAGAAACATTCAAAGACATTTTGGAGCTTCATTTTATTTTGAAAGGAAAAAATATATAGAATTGGGATATAGAAAGCAGAGGAATGTCGTGATAGGAACCAAAAAAAGCAACAGAAGAAAACTTTATAAAGTACATTTGTACGCTTTTTAAAAATCATTTTAAAATATGAAGTCTCAATAAATACTTCAATACATTTAGGCATGCGGATATATCTTTACATTTCATTACAGTATTTGATTCATAAAAATGACTTTTTCTTCTTCATTATTGCACTTACGTTGTGATGGGTTCGTCCTAAAACCAGTCACATGCATAAGGTCATGAAAGGTCAAAGGTTAAACTAGCGCCTTGTTCAAGGTTAGAGAGAATCTACAAGTCTAACAGAAGGGTGTTTCTTTTTTTTAAAAGCACAAAGGAACCAAAGCTCAAATAGAAAAGTGACTCGGCAGAGAGGGAGTTTCTGTATCTGCTGCTGTTCTGTTACACATTATTCAAAAATGATTATGAAAGACTTCTGGGGAGGAAAGAAAGCAGAGGCTGAGCCGCGATGTCGTGGTGCTGCATGCAGAACGTTCTCAAGTCACACTGAGTTCAACACTTAGCAACAGTTTTCTGTTTGAGTGGCAGCTGACATTTTGGAAACAACGCTTATTTGCTTTCTTGCAGAGAGTTCAATGAGATGCTCAGACACCACTCTCATGTTGGTACGTTCAATATAGAACTGGTGGTTTGTCAAGAATTACACTCCCAACATTAAAACCATCACATTTTAAGTTTTGAATTTCATATTAACGGTCTTTTAGCTCTGGCTTTGGTCACAACCACCTCCTGAAATACAGATAACCAGAAAAACATGTTTGGCAAAAACTGCAGATGAAGCATAAATCTCAGCTTTTTGTCGCGTAATTGCATGTTTTCAGTTCTCAATACTGCCCCATGTGGCCAAAAGAAGGTGGTTCAATGTCACACCCTCCAACAAGTAAAAAGATTATTATTGGAATATTATCAAGCCATTGAAACAGCTTCTCTAGAAATATTGTCTTTTGTGGAATAAGGGCATCAACTCAATATTGTGTGCATGTAAATGTTGTCAATAAGCATGTTCCTTACCCGAAAAACACACAAAAAGGTTTGAGCAAGCCCTTTTCCCCGTGACCATCTTTATACTAGATAAACTAACCCTAGCTTCTCGTTTAGTAAAGAAAGGAGTGGTCATCTTCTCATTTAACTCTCATCAAGAAAGCGAAAGGGCGACTTGTAGAAATAAGTCATCGAAATGGAGCCATTAATGATTGACTGGTTACATACAGGAAAGTCAATGTGAGTTTCAGTTAAAAGACAGCTTTGACACATAATAAGAGACTGGTATAAAATCACACACACAACAAACTCAAACAACACAACTCCAGTGAGTAAATGAACTTGGAAAGCAAATGAAGGCAGTGGAAAGAGAAGAGGTTATTAAGAAGACGGTAAAATAAATATAAACATGACACGTGATCAGAATGTTTTCAATCTGTCACCAGCAGAGGGCGATGAAGCCTCTTCAGCTGAATGGATTTGCATCATGGATCCAAACTATAATTAGTTTCTTCTTAGTTTGCTATCCATGTGTTTGAAGTATTTCAAATATTGGGTGTGCTTTTGCCCAGCATGTCCCCATGGAACAACTAGAACCTTAATATTTATCTACACGTAGTTTTCTTTCTGAATTATAAGGCTTTAAAATAGGGCCAAAACGGGAAGAAATTCTCTTTAAAGTGTCATAAAACAGAGAAAAGCAGTCCATTGTAACATTGGAAAAGCTACAAGCAGAGAATAAATTGCATGTTTGCTTTATAAAAAGTGACTCAAACTATTAACCTATTGTTTAAATAATTTCAGATTTATTTTCTGCTGAATAATTTCACATCATATTTTAACAGTAGAGGTCCATAAAGTAGATTTGTATCTGTCTGAAAAACTTGTTGCAACTTGTAAATATACTATTTTAGTTTTCTTTTTGGTCGTATGTATTTGGATCTTGAGGAGTAATTGATTGGTAATGTGTTATAATGGATGATCACGATGGAGGTTAATGGTGTTCTTTAAGGGAATCCTCTTCATACATTATATTCTTACAACCATCCATTCATTTTCACTCTCAAGTGTGGCAGCAAATTCAGCCCATCACAGAGAGCGACCGAAGCTAGATTCAAGTAATCGTTATAGTTTCAATTGGTCCTGAATATATATATTATATTTGATATATTTAGTCAAAAATACTGACTAGGTCATGATGGCATCGGTGGATGAGAGAAAGCAGAGGACGCACAAGTCAACAGATGTTTGTTTGTTTGTTGATTATCTGAAAACCTTTTTATTTCTTAAAGTCTGCAGGTATAACGTGTATTTGGATCTCATCATCTCTCATAATCTACAGCCCCATCAGACACAGCAGTTCAACTAGATCAGCTGTTTTCAAAGTGACAATAATAAAAGTATACGTTAAATATTTATAGAATCTTTTCACCACTATTATTAGAACTATGCTCTAAGTTTTAGAATTGCATTTCCCATGGAGCCTTGGGGCGGTAAGTCAGTCAGTGAGCTGTGGGCCACAACTTAACATTGTGTCTTTGAATTAGATATATCCAGCAGAAATATGGAGGTTTGTTGGCATTTGAAAAGTATATATATATATATATATATATATATATATATGTGTGTATTATGTCTTTCTGTTTAGATGAGTTGTGACGAGATTATAACTAACTTTCAAAAACAGAGGGTGGAGATTGAAATTGTAGTTTGATATCCTTCCTCCAAACTCCTTTGCTCTTGTTATATCACATCTTACTCTTTATGTCACTTTTTCCATGTATTAGATTATTATTTTTATGTTTGACATGATTTTTGTTTTCTTCTTGACAGGAGGATGTCCCAAATCAGCAAACTAAAGTATAAATGTAACATTTTTGGGAATTACTTTTTTTTTTGTATCTGTTTTTGCTGAGCTAAAGCTAGCAGTAATCCCTTCCAAAATGTCAAACCATTCTCCTTTGAAAGGTTTCCCATGGTGCACACGTTTATGCATTTGAATGCACTGGAGTATACACTACAGTACAAATGGTTGGAACATAGTTGGCTGTAAAAGTGTACAGCACACATATACTCATAGAAGAGTCAGAATGCTTACTGTGTTGGTGTAAGCCTGAGAAAAGGTGAAGAACTAAATACTCACTTTCTAAAACAAACCCATCACAGCAAGCTACAGTAGGACTCTGCGAGAGGACTGACTTCATGAGAGGTTAGAGGTTGTATCCTCGCCAAGAATGCCACAGCAACGACATACAAAACAAAGATTAGTGGTCCATCTTTACAAACAGAAGTATGAATACAAAAAACACTTCTGAGCGGTTTTCTGATATAAAAAATGAAGGGTTTCTGTTCAAAGTGCACCGAGATCTCTCCAGGTGGTTTAACCCCGGCTTGTCCGCTTGTTTTCTCCTCATTTTGGCTCCACGTATCCACACACGTCCAATGAGCTGATCTAGATCTCCCAGTCGGTGCAGGGCAGGCCTTCGTCCTCGGACTCGGACTCAGACTCGGGGGACGCCTCTTTGATCCTGCGCAGCGCCTCGTGGATGCTGCGGGTCAGAGCGTCGGCGGAGTGTGTGTAGCTCTTGGCCTGCCGCTGCTGCTCGGGCCGGGCCAGAACCTTCTTCAGCCGGACGCCCTGCCGGATCTGAGCCAGGATGTTGGTGCTGTCGTCGTCCGGGTCGGGGCCCAGCACCCGCAGCTCCGCCTTCCTCAGGTGGAAGCAGCCGCGCTTCAGAGAGTTCAGAACCTCGTCCATGGGGGAGCTCGCTGCTTAAAACACAGCGGTAACACAGTTAGAACAGCTTAACAATGAGCCCGGACAAAGTCTCTATAAAGTAAAATGGAGACATCAGATTTTTCGGTTCTTTCTTAACTTTTTAAACAACAATTCCTAACAATTTACCTCAGAAGTTAATACTACATGAATAACTGGTGAGTGAAGCATAAAAAAGGTACACATTAATTAATAATAATGATCATTTTAATTGAATATTTAACTTTGAGTCAGTTTCTTCAAGAGACACTATAGGACAGACTTCATTTGAATAGTTTGTATCCTTGAGGTCATTGAATCTTTCTTAAAGTTTTCTTTTTTATTTAATTGTATGTGCTTTCAACAATCTATTTAATGGATCTGTTTTAGTGTTCTTTTTTATATTTAAAAAAATGAACACAACTTGATGAAGAGCACTTTAAACTGCAGTGTATGAATGTATGACAGCTGCTCTACAAATAAATACTATTATTATTATTTATTTGATAAGATTTCCATGAAACCTAACCCTCTTTTTGATACCATTTCTTTTTCAGCAATAGTCCTTCTCTGTATTCTCCTTATATCAGTTTTCATTGTTAGTGGAGACGCGCTTTTTATCAATATTTTCTTTTTTTATAATAAATGTCTCAAGAATGAAATGAAAGTGCGTCTCCTCCGAACCTCTCCACTGCGTGGAGTCCAGTGAGGATGTCTTCTTCAGCTTCTTCCTGGCCGTCTGCAGCTGACTGCTGTCGAAGAACCGAGGGGAGAAGGGGGCCAGAGGCAGAGACTCAGACTGTCGTTCATGACGCCGCACCGGGCCGGGGGGTTTCTCCCTGCCCTCACCCTGCTGCTGCTCCTCTGAGGGGGGAGTTGGAGGAGGAGGGGGGGGTGGGGGAGGAGGAAAAGGTGGCAGCGAGAGGAAGGGATGCGTGTCGAGGTTCCCCAGTGGAACTGTGGGTAGAGAGACGCTGTCGCAGCTGAAGGGGGCGGGGGGAGGAAGGGCGGAGAGTAGGGGGAGATTGGAGCAGTCCGTCTGGACGCTAGCTGAGTGAGTGCTGGCTGGCGCCCCCCCCCTCCTCCGGCTGGGAGGCTGGAACTGATGCAGCCGGCTGGACTTCAGGGTCACCTGGCCCGGGTAGCGCTGAGGGGAGAGACAACAACAAAACAAGTGAGAAACAAGATCAGTCACAGGCACGGGAATATCACAAACTAAAAGATGAAGTTGAAAATATTGTCATAAACAGTTGGTATAAAACAGAACCTTAACCGAAACTAAATTAAACCCATATTACCTGGTTAAAAGATTGAATGGAAAATGAACAAAGCGCACCAATTACTTGATGACTTTGACCTAGATAGTTTGAAACTTGAACTTCCAGGAGATATGCTGTAATCGATTCCCACTGAATCCCTATTGTTATTTACAATCCGTCTAGTGTGGTAATAAATAACAAGAACATGATTTGAGTATTGTCAAATGCCTTTTAAACAAGCTATTCAGCTCAGGTGTTTAGTTAGCATACTGTGGTTAGGAGGACATCTTTCTCCGAATGTGGTAGTGAGGAGTAGTCGAGTTTATTCTGAAGTGTTTAAACATTAATGCCCATTTCTTACAGAGTTCTCCAACCATCTTTTAGGAATGTATATGAAGCTACATAGGTCTGAAACATTATACAAAATAAATACAACTAAATGTATAAACCTCCCTGAAGAAGTTCAACTAAAGTAAAACTCACTCTGAAATCTAACTAATACCAAGCAAGAAAAGTCAAAACTAAAATAAACAAAAACAAATGAATAATACCAGACTACAGACTAGGATCATTATGGGATGTTCTCACCAGCTTGAGGCTGCGCAGTCTGTCCAGAGTCCTCTGTCTGTCCTGACTCACTCTGGCGTTGCTCCTGGCCTCGTCTTCCTCAGCTGCTCCTCCCTTTATAGGAAGTGACAGAGATGGTCTGATGTAGTAAAGTGTGATGGCTTGGTTTGGCGTGTTCGTCTGCGTAAAGCGGTTCATTTAGGAATTGGGGTGATTGAATCAACCACACCACAACCTCTCAAAAAGGAGGCTGTTTTAGGTTTGTTTGTGGTACGAAAGCAAAGCATGCAGCATGAGAGGATTCTTGCTAATCAATCAGAAAGAAGATAGTAGTTGATCGCAGGTCATAGATGGGACAAGTGGTCAACGGCTGTGGAAACATCATTTTCCTTCAATTCTACTTGGCATGCTAAAACTGCAAAGGGAAACTGAAATAAACACAACATAGTTTGGCTGTAAAGGCAGAAAGTGCCAATGGAAAAGCACCATTTGTGTTCTACTCCATGTATTTTGACAGTTCCTTTTTAATAACACACAATAACTCAAAGTGACACAGCAAGATACCTCTTTTCACTATTATTGTTCAGAATACATTTCTTGTGTGGGGATAACATTTCAAAACAGCAGTGAGCTTTAATGAGGGAGACCGTGTTCTCTGTATGCCTGGAATGCGTTTTTTCACTGTGAATGACTAATATCTATTTCCTACACCAAAACCTTATAGAAATAAATATGAAAACTATTTTATATTGTGCGTACATCCTATCAGATGCAGCATAAATATGGAGTCTTACGTGTTGCAGTGTCTGCGGGGAATCATCATGGCTGCCTCGCTGTTGTATCTTCTGGTTGTGATTGACAATACAGATTTCCTAAACAGAAAGAGAAGACATCAATGAGGCACTGATCCAGCCTGTTCAGATAAATGACTCTCCAGCAGCCTCAACAACTGCCCACTGTGAACTCTAGCTGTACTTCAGCTGTGCCTACCTTCTTGTTTTTGAGGTAGACCTTCTTGGTGGTGATGCGGCCCCTGCGGGCCTCCAGCTGCCGGGTCTTCTGCTGCAGAACGCTCAGCTCTTCGTCTCGGAGGGGGGACGGGGGGGTGGTGTGATCGTCCTCACCCTTCATGGCATCTGGGCTCTCAAAGGCATCGTAGTACACCACCTCATCCTGCCGCTCTGATACAACATTAGAACAGATACATTTGAAATGTTTTAGTAAACACTGATGGAATTACATTATAAGTGGTACAAGAAATATTTTCTCTGTTTGAAATTGATCCATTTTGTTTTTCATGGGTCCTGATAAATAACCCACTGTACTGCTTTATATTACTCATATTCTTTTCCTCTGATCATGTGTACAGCTCGTCTCTTTTAATAATATTTACATCTGATAATATCCACGCTATGATCATTATACGTATAACTTACTCTTGCATTTTTTGATATTTCTTAAAATGTTGAATTATTGGGTTAAAGTACTTCTCTACATACATGCCTCTTCAAACCCATGGGGACAAACTCTTTTGAATTGAATTGCAATGTCTTGTTACTCATTGTCATATATTTACGCTGATATCAACATAACTTCAATATCGCCTGTTATATCAGTAAGAAATGTGCCATTTATAACCCTTCAGTCTGTCACCCCATGCTTTACAAAGCCCTTGAATCCCAGAGCAGACGCTCACCTGTCATCTGCCTGCGCAGACTCTGCAGCTGGGAGTTGAGCAGCAGCTCCTCGCAGCGCAGCACCTCCGCCCCGATGTCGTACAGCTGCAGCTGCAGCTCGTAGTACAGCGCCTCCAGCTGGTCCACTCGCAGCATGGCGTCCTCTCCCTCCTGCAGACTCTGCATCTACAAGCCACAGCACAACACACAATGACATCACTCTTCCACCACAGTCCAGAGGGCATATGCCTCAGGCTTCAGCAGCACTTCCTGTTTTCCATCTGTTTTGAACAGAAACGGAAATTGAACCAGACACAGTTTCTCTGTTCTCTCTCTCTTTGTGCTGTGCTGCACCACTCCTGCATTCAACAGGTACTTTCCACAATGGATTTACATCTGTAAGGCTAGGGTTTGACCCCAACAGTCAGTCCCATGAGTCATTTCGCTGCTGTACACCAGGATGTTATTCACTCCATTACAGGATGTCTGAGCCATGAGGTCACTTCACTAACATGTCCATGAACTGCCTTTTTCCTTCTCTCTCAACTTCTCCTAGTCCAAGTGTTTGTGTCACTCACTCATGTTATGGTCAAGCACATTTACTGTAGTACAGAAATGAGAGTAAGGGTACGCTTTTGAAGTACTTGTACTTGAGTTTTATGTGAATGTCTACCTCTGCTCCACTACACTTTGGTATTTTTTCCTCCTACATGTATTTTCACACAAAGTTTCTTTGCAGATTCAGATAAGTAAAACAACATTTAAATCAACAGATCAATTCTGATGTGATACCGTAGATGAAGTAATACATTTAAGTATTTTTTTATGCAATTAATTAGACACTTTAACAAAGAAAAGTTAGTATTTTCAATAGTCGCATCTCCGTCTCCGTCAATGGCTTCAAAAGAACCAGCGAGTCTCACAACCTTTGTTATGATGCTTTATGGGAGGAGCCTCAGTGGGTGTGTCGTTGTTTACCTCCTCCTTCAGGCCGTGTTTCCTCTGCTCCAGGCAGATCTCCTTGGCCCTCATCAGCTGCAGGGTTTCCTTGGAGACGGCGTACTGCAGCCGCTCCATCCGCTCCACCGCTGCTGCCCAAGCAGACTTCCCAAACTTCTTCTGGTCAGCACGCATCCGCTCAAACAAAGCTGCAACACAGATTATAGATAACTGTCAGAAATGGGCTGAAGCTACGATTAATAGTTGTTATCAGATGATTGACATACGTTAAATGGGGACTATTTTCCTGATTGATCCGTCTTTAGGAGTTATTTCTAAAGAAAAATAAGCCAAAATTCCCTGATCAGAGGATTTTCTGTTTTTTCGCTGTTAATATCTTTTATCCTGAATATCCTTAGTTTATGACTGCCGACAAACAAGAGATTAAAGTTGAAACTTTTCACTTAATTAATTAATTAAACATTTTATAGACTGACGATTAATCAGCAAATCAAGAAAACATTTTTATAATCAGTGGAAGGCCTACAGTAAACTGGGTGCTTAAGCAGTGTTTTAGATGTGAGCATGAGTGCTTTGATTTGAGGTAAGTGGAGCCTGTTTTATGCCTGAACAGAAATCAGGTTGCATGTCTCCGAGCAGTTCATAGCTGAGAGGGTTTGAGGATTAAAATACTTTTGGAGGAAGGGGGGGGGGGGGCCTTAGTATGTGAAAGGTCCTATGGAGTGTTAACTGACCTATATGGAGTGCTAACTGAACTTTGTTTTGGAGTAAACACACAACACCAAGGTTCAAAGGTCACAGTGAGACAAAAGCTGCTTTAAACAGAAAGGAAATGCCTCCACGCGTTTACCTTTCTGTGCGCGAGTGGTGGTCTCAAAGAACTTGACAGTCAGGTCCTGTATGGAGAGAACGGCGGCGTGGGCTTTCTTCTGCCACTCCTCGTCCTCTCTCCTCAGGCCCTCCAGCCGGCGAGGACCCAGGCGCTCCGTCTCCAGAGAGATCTGATGGGGTCAGAGCAGGGTGTCAGGCAGGGTAAACTGAGCACTCAGCACAGATAACAACGTTCAGCAAGGCAGAGCGAGAGTCTTACAAAGGTTGTCACTGTGACCCCAACATATTACCACATGTTATTTACTCTATGTAAACATTTAGCACTATTATTTTCTTCTTTGTCTTACATCTACTTGGATGTACAAGATGTATATAATAATGTTGTTATGGGTTTAGTGAGTTAGCTGTGCTTTTTTAGCTCGGATATTTGTTTATATTTTGGCAAATTGGCATCAATATAAGGGTGTCAAATGAGCTATTAACAGTTTCAGATTGCAGTATAGATATGGATATACAGACGTCTATCAATAAGTGATTTTGATGTTAAAGAAAACTTTAAATCGTGATGATTCTCAGTCAAGTTAAGGGGCCCCTTTTTTTTCCTATGACTGAAGATTTATTGATGTATTGTGTGATGGAACTTGAAATTATATAATTATTAAGAAGATAAAGTCACACTAAATCCAAAATGAGTGAATTGTGTATGTGTGAGCAGAGTTATGACTCCACAAAGGAGTAATATGATGGCGCTACTTGCAGGAATCTGGATTTTAAATGCCTTTGTTAGCTATGTGTCAAAGAGTGACAAACTACATGTAACTTCCAGTTGATTTTAAAACACCAGAATGGTACTGTCCCTTTCACCTCCCACACCTTGAACTCTCCCCTGAAAGCCCCTGGTACAGACTGCAGTGCTCTGTAATACCAGTAGGTTACAGCAGGTGGGGGTAGTAGCGCTGTCTGGCAGCCTGTCCATGTTTATGTTTAGAGTGACACTAACCCAGTGTCCTACTGGGCTGCTGGAACAATAAATAAAGAACAAAAAGCTCTGAAAACAAAACAAGAAAAATCTTGCAACACACTCCGGATGGGGTTTATACCACATGGCACATCATCACATGTCAACCACAGTTCACTTTTCACCAGCTCATGTTAGGCCACGTGAGAAAAAGTGAGAAACAGGGAAAAGCAGTGCCACGTGGAGTCCTGTCAAACCCCTCCTCTACTGAGAGAAGACCACATGGAACAAAATGTACACACACATTAACTCCCTCTGAGGGCCTCATGCACACACACTCGTGTATTCATGTGTCGATGTAAGACAGATGTGTGTAGGTGCTTACAAATAAACACCAAACCTCAAAGGCCTTGATTTATGTAAGCCATCAAACTCAGTGCTTTATTGTGTGTGGATTCGTATGTGTGTATATGTAAGTGTGTGTATGTATGTGTGTGTGTGTATGTGTGTATATGTAAGTGTGTGTGTGTGTATTTATGTGTATGTGTGTGTGTGTGCATATGTGTGTATGTGTGTATTTATGTGTATGTGTGTGTGTGTGTGTGTGCATATGTGTGTATGAGTGTGTGTGTATTTATGTGTGTGTGTGTGTGTGTGTGTGTGTGTGTGTGTGTGTGTGTGTGTGTGTGTGAAAAACCGGAAGTTGTCACTATTAGCTTAACACTTTTATTCTGAAAATTCGTCACTTCCGGTTAGCATTTAGCATCTGGTGGAATCATACGATTTCAAACCTTGAACCAAGGTGAAATGACATGTGATGTTGTACACTGAGCACACTGGGATTAGCACTCATTTATTGACGCTGAATAATGTGTAGCAGGGAATGTTTAAATAATCACAGACACCAGAATGATGCAATTTAGCTACAGAAAAAGGCAGGAATTGCATTGGACCCGCCCCCCGACGACGCCGGCCAATAGGAGAAGACCTCAGATGACAACAGGAAGAGCAAGCCAAGAATTGACTCTTCCACCCCCTGACCTGAACTGACCGGTCGTTGGATGTGGAGAGCGCCTCCACTCGCACATTTCATTTAGTACACCACCGCATCTTTTGTGTAATTAAATGCTGTTAACTTTTATAAGCTTCCCTTGACTCTTTTCAGTCTCTCCTGCCTTCAGGGTTCTAGAATTGCTTACAATAGTTTATTGAAGCACAACCTGGCAGATATTGAAATTGAGGGTGAGGGTCGTTATTAACCTTATTGTTAATCCATGCCCCTTACAGATCTAAAACTCTTTACGTTATAGTTGTAACATGTCCGTCTCATATCTAAATGAGCAACCTTTTCCCTTTAACACACACACAGAAAATGCTGTTAACAATCATAAACACAAAGCACAATGTGATTCTTCTCATATCTCTAGCTCACAAGAGCCTGTTTAAAATTCCCGTACCGATTCAGTATGTCGTTTCCTTAGTACTATCAGTCTAACAATGACCAAACATGTATTCATATACTAATCTGTGCATTGTTCTTCCTCATTGCGGCAAGAAGATATTTTTTAACTTCAATAGCGCCATCAAAAGGCAGAGAAATAACACAATATATGTTGTGAGCCGGTCTAACAAACAGCTGATCTGCTAAACAGCCAAAGTGACATATTTATATTAGAAATAGACAGCACATTTTGGTTGGGTTAGTATAAATATGAAGCTTAAACCAGAATGAATCAAAAGAGAGGACGATAAAAGCCTCAGAATAACTAAATGTTAACACCACTCATCCATCAGTTCTCATGATAACAGTGTGAGACAGAGAGGACGGATAAGGTCAATGAGGACACACACTATGATACACTGTTGGTTTGTCACATATACTCGCTATCATATTCGACACCCTGAGCTACCAACTTGTCTTTCTTTTTTTACAACCTTTCTTATTTGCAAATAAAAGCAGCCAGGAAATGACGGGGGAAGATGTTTCTGTGGTTGATTTACTTTAAAACCTATGGCCGACAGCTGACGGTGACAAAACAAAGATGTGGCAAACTCAGGAAAATAAAAGTGACGCCAGTTCCCGTGGTAAAGTGTGGGGATTACAGCATGGACACCATCATGGTGGGGCCTTATCTCATTTGGTTAGAATAGTGTCAGATACTAGGCTGTGTTTATCAGGCAGCTGTGGGGGATGGGTGGATAAAACACTGGTGCGCTCAACAAACAAAAAGGTTTGGATGATGGACAACAGACATTTAAATATGCTTTCTATGGAAGAGTCCATAACAAACAATGGTGTATTGTGTGTGTATATTATGAGCCTGATACATCTTCTTCCTCTGTGCCACAGAGTTCCATTGTTGTCCAAAAACTATTACAATCGCATCAATGATCCACACTGTTTAACTAGGTGACACGTTTCTTTATCATCCTAACACACAATCAGCAGCTAAAAAGTTCCCAGGGAAGCACCATTTCTTTGTGTGAGTACATTTTGTTCAAATATACAGTTACAGGAAGATCTAAGCTTTTTACGAGATGTACATGTGTAGAACAAAAAACTGTCTATTTGAAAGCTGTTCTTAAACAAATATGTGTTTTGTGGAAAGTATTGATTCATTTCGGTTTTTTTGATTGGATATTATGACAAAAATAAAATAAAATCAGCCTTTTTATTTTTAAACAGCGGACTCTTGGGTCAAGTGATAGGTATTACAAGTGGATATCTGAGGAAAGTATTAAATTCATCGATATGGAAATAATCGTTAATAGCGACCCTTTAGGAATAACTTGATTACTTATATATATATATATATATATATATATATATATATATACACATTGAAAATATGTACATACACATTACAAACATGTAGATAGTAGACAAAACTAAAAAAGAATTTCCCAGCCTTTCTGTGTTCTGATCAGCTCTGAATCAGCATATTTTGGTCTGGATATATTGACACCCCCCCGAGTCTCCTCTCAAAAACCCCCTCCTGCCTGCTTTTTCTGATACTTTTACACCGCCCGACCTGCAGGACTTGGGTGTTAAGAGACAGGAGTGCTTCATCTCCCATGTGAAAGGATCCGTGACTGGGGTTTTTTCACACACGGCAACCCTAGGAAGGGCAAAAAGGTGCTTCTTTTGTTCTGATCAGCCAGCGCAATGCTGCATACTCTATCTGAAATACTTGAGATTTACTTTTGACTCTAAAGCGAGTGTTCGCAGCTGAAGTCATGAGCTTTCTGAAAGCTTATTCTCTTAGGGGCAGGGCAATTTGGTTTCTTTTTAAAGTGGGGCCTAAGGCGAATTTTGGCCCTTTTTTATTTATTTTTTCTCCTTGGGCAAGATACTTTGGTAGATAAACCCCACTTTAGAGGTAACTGCAAAGGCCTTAAAACTAGAACCACGTGATGGGGCTGGGGCTTACGCTGCAAAACTTCTTAGCCTTTTAAGCAAGAGAGTAAGTATACCTAAAACGTTATTTTGTATATTTTAACACC